TTATCAGCCTACTCTTTATCAGCCCACTCTTTATCAGCCTACTCTTTATCAGCCTACTCTTTATCAGCCTACTCTTTATCAGCCCACTCTTTATCAGCCCACTCTTTATCAGCCTACTCTTTATCAGCCCCCTCTTTATCAGCCTACTCTTTATCAGCCTACTCTTTAACAGCCTACTCTTTATCAGCCTACTCTTTATCAGCCTACTCTTTATCAGCCTACTCTTTATCAGCCTACTCTTTATCAGCCTACTCTGTATCAGCCCACTCTTATCAGCCTACTCTTTATCAGCCTACTCTTTATCAGCCCACTCTTTATCAGCCTACTCTTTATCAGCCTACTCTTTATCAGCCTACTCTTTATCAGCCTACTCTTTATCAGCCTACTCTTTATCAGCCTACTCTCTATCAGCCTACTCTTTATCAGTACACTTTTTATCAGCCTACTCTTTATCAGCCCACTCTTTATCAGCATACTCTCTATCAGCCTACTCTTTATCAGCCCACTCTTTATCAGCCTACTCTCTATCAGCCTACTCTTTATCAGCCCACTCTTTATCAGCCTACTCTCTATCAGCCTACTCTTTATCAGTCTACTCTTTATCAGCCTACTCTTTATCAGCCTACTCTCTATCAGCCTACTCTTTATGAGCCCACTCTTTATCAGCCTACTCTTTATCAGCCTACTCTTTATTAGCCCACTCTTTATCAGCCTACTCTTTATCAGCCCACACTTTATCAGCCTACTATTTATCAGCCCACTCTTTATCAGCCCACTCTTTATCAGCCTACTGTTTATCAGCCTACTCATTATCAGCCCACTCTTTATCAGTCTACTCTTTATCAACCCACTCTTTATCAGCCTACTCTTTATCAGCCTACTATTTATCAGCCCACTCTTTATCAGCCTACTCTTTATCAGCCTACTCTTTATCAGCCTACTCTTTATCAGCCTACTCTTTATCAGCCTACTCTTTATCAGCCTACTCTTTATCAGCCTACTCTTTATCAGCCTACTCTTTATCAGCCTACTCTTTATCAGCCTACTCTTTATCAGCCTACTCTTTATCAGCCTACTCTTTATCAGCCTACTCTTTATCAGCCTACTCTTTATCAGCCTACTCTTTATCAGCCTACTCTTTATCAGCCTACTCTTTATCAGCCTACTCTTTATCAGCCTACTCTTTATCAGCCTACTCTTTATCAGCCTACTCTTTATCAGCCTACTCTTTATCAGCCTACTCTTTATCAGCCTACTCTTTATCAGCCTACTCTTTATCAGCCTACTCTTTATCAGCCTACTCTTTATCAGCCTACTCTTTATCAGCCTACTCTTTATCAGCCTACTCTTTATCAGCCTACTCTTTATCAGCCTACTCTTTATCAGCCTACTCTTTATCAGCCTACTCTTTATCAGCCTACTCTTTATCAGCCTACTCTTTATCAGCCTACTCTTTATCAGCCTACTCTTTATCAGCCTACTCTTTATCAGCCTACTCTTTATCAGCCTACTCTTTATCAGCCTACTCTTTATCAGCCTACTCTTTATCAGCCTACTCTTTATCAGCCTACTCTTTATCAGCCTACTCTTTATCAGCCTACTCTTTATCAGCCTACTCTTTATCAGCCTACTCTTTATCAGCCTACTCTTTATCAGCCTACTCTTTATCAGCCTACTCTTTATCAGCCTACTCTTTATCAGCCTACTCTTTATCAGCCTACTCTTTATCAGCCTACTCTTTATCAGCCTACTCTTTATCAGCCTACTCTTTATCAGCCTACTCTTTATCAGCCTACTCTTTATCAGCCTACTCTTTATCAGCCTACTCTTTATCAGCCTACTCTTTATCAGCCTACTCTTTATCAGCCTACTCTTTATCAGCCTACTCTTTATCAGCCTACTCTTTATCAGCCTACTCTTTATCAGCCTACTCTTTATCAGCCTACTCTTTATCAGCCTACTCTTTATCAGCCTACTCTTTATCAGCCTACTCTTTATCAGCCTACTCTTTATCAGCCTACTCTTTATCAGCCTACTCTTTATCAGCCTACTCTTTATCAGCCTACTCTTTATCAGCCTACTCTTTATCAGCCTACTCTTTATCAGCCTACTCTTTATCAGCCTACTCTTTATCAGCCTACTCTTTATCAGCCTACTCTTTATCAGCCTACTCTTTATCAGCCTACTCTTTATCAGCCTACTCTTTATCAGCCTACTCTTTATCAGCCTACTCTTTATCAGCCTACTCTTTATCAGCCTACTCTTTATCAGCCTACTCTTTATCAGCCTACTCTTTATCAGCCTACTCTTTATCAGCCTACTCTTTATCAGCCTACTCTTTATCAGCCTACTCTTTATCAGCCTACTCTTTATCAGCCTACTCTTTATCAGCCTACTCTTTATCAGCCTACTCTTTATCAGCCTACTCTTTATCAGCCTACTCTTTATCAGCCTACTCTTTATCAGCCTACTCTTTATCAGCCTACTCTTTATCAGCCTACTCTTTATCAGCCTACTCTTTATCAGCCTACTCTTTATCAGCCTACTCTTTATCAGCCTACTCTTTATCAGCCTACTCTTTATCAGCCTACTCTTTATCAGCCTACTCTTTA